ATCCACATCCACATCCCAAACCAATCCCGATCCAAGTTCAGCGTTTGCGAATTTCATGTGAAATTCTGGGCCGAACTTCTGTTGAAATATTCGGCATACGCAGCAACAGCAGCGTTGAGACATCAACAGCGTCATTCGCATTCACATTTACATTCACATTCACATACTCTCTCATTCACATTCGTATCTGTATCTTGTATCTGGTGGCGCCGCCGCTGGGGGTCCTGTCCCAGTCCCTGTCCCTGTCCCTGTACCTATATCAGTATAGGTTCTTCTTCCGTCTCTTCCTGTCGTCTGTTTGCGCGCTTGCGCATTCAATTTAATTTTTATTTTTATTTCGCTGACAATTTTGCAGCCGCTGCAAAAATTTTGTGCGTTTCTTAACGACTTTCGGCAACCACAAAATAAACTCACAGCGAATACAGAAGAGGCCCAAAAAAAAAAAAAGGAAAAAATGCCGCTTAAGAAATTGCCATCGCATGTTGCACTTTTTTTTATAATTTGCTTGATGTTTTTATAGTTGTTGTTGTTCATTTGATTATCGCCACTGTCGACGTGTAATTTATTATATTGACTTTTGTGGACTCACTGGCCACAAACTTGGCCCTTATTTTTATGGCTTTAACCTTTTGCCAACCGCCGCGTTGCTGACATTATTTAATTTGTCATTTAATTCGCTTACGTTGCCTTCTGTTAAGCGAGAAACAGCAAATTTTTGACCATATGTTTCGAATACATACGTAAACGAGTATGTAATGAATATATGGGGGGTATTCATAAGGTTATGTATGCTGCCGCTTCTGACTTTTTGGCCTACATATGCTCGTACTTCCTTTTGTCTGAAACGAACTGCAAATAACTTAAGCTTTCTTTTCTGAGAAACTCAAGAAAAAGTTTATACTTATTTATGTTGAATGTTTGTATTTTATGAAAAGCATATAAAACAAACTTAAGCTGAACCAAAAAGTGTATTACAAACCAAGTTTCAGCTCAGATTTAAACTCAAACACACACTAATTGGAAGTTATTTATAAATTTTGAGCAACTTAATCAAGTTAGCTGTCTTAACTATAAATGTAGCGAAGTCTTAGATAAAGTCTCGTTAGTTTTAATTAACATTTATTTTGTATAGTTTGCCAAATAAGTACCAGCTATAAATTCGACAAACACAATCTAATATCTAGTTACATTAATATGCAGAAACAAACCAAAAAATGGAATCATTTAACAGAATATTCTCAAGTTAATTGGTAGCATTCACATTTTTTATTCAAACACATTTATATGCAAGAAAATACGCCAAATAAAAGAGATAATTTGGTTGTGATATATGAATTTCATATAATTAATATCATTCCCCTTCTTCACAGCTGTCAGCCACATTTTTAATTAAAAGTTATGTATAACATTTTAGCTTAATAGTAAAAACTTTTATTAATTAATTGCACTTAATCCGATATTGAGCTATGTTGGCTAAAACAGACGCCCACCAAATAAAATATTTGCACCGATACTAAAATAGACGAAAAAAATGCACTAAATCATTTCTTAATTGCTCAATTTGAAAACAAATGCGAGCATTTAATTTAATTGTGTTGATTGTTAATTGAGTCGTATTTGGCCCGTTTTGGCTGCACGAATGCGAATGCCAGCCACGCCTACCCAAAGCAGGCGAAGGCGCCCCCGATACACTGTTAGATAAAAGTCAGCTGAACAGCATGTTGACTTTTTTTTGTTGCTGTTGTTGCTGTTGCTGCTGTTGCTGCTGTTGCTGTTATATGTTGCTGCTGTTCATTTTCGGCATTTTTTGTGGGGCAATTAAAAATGCAACTGTGCGACAGTTTGCCAAATGCTCAGCTGCAACGCCAACGGCAACAACAAAGCTTGCAACGGCAACAACAACAGCACAAACAGCAACTTGTGGGCCAATTTTCGTATGATTTACCACTGTGGCAACAGCAGGTGGGTTGCAGGAGCTAAAACGATGTTGAAATTAGCATATAGAAAATGCATTATGCCGATAATGCGCCATAAACGTCGCCAAATCGAAATTACGTGTCGACTTTTGGGCATTTGAGATACATGTGAGTCTATATGTAGATAGAGTGGCATGCAACTGGCGGGCCATAAATCTCCATTCGGCACATTTGGAGGCTGCTGCTGCTGCTGCTGCTGATGCTGCTGAGTCGCATCATCAATCATCTTGTCGCAGATCGATTATAACAATTGCTGACAGACAACAGACAGTGGGAGAGAGAGAGAGAGAGAGAAAGAGAGCGTGAAAAGCAAGTTGGCGGCTGTTACATCTGCGGGCAGCCATTTGTATCTGATGGATGTATCTCGAATACCTCCTGCTGCTGCTTCTGCTGATGTTGCTGCTGTTGTTGCTGCAGTTGCTGTTGTTGTTCTTGTTGTTATTGGTGAACTGCAACTGCAGCGCATGCAAGCCCAGTTTGCATTTCCATGGAAACTTGTGCATTTGCACAGCTGCAAAAGTTTTGCCTTTTGGCTGTTCTGGTTGTTGTTCTTGTTGTTTTCGTGTCAAGTCCTAAAAGTTCCAAGAAACTCAAATGTTTTGCAATGTTCTATGCCAAAAGTGACGAGGCAGTTACAACCTAGCTGCCCATTGTCCGTTTCCAGCACGAAATTATTTTAATGAGTTGCCAATTAGACTTGGCCCATACCGAGCCTAAATAGTAGATCAGCGACTTGGCCACTCGACTAATAAATACCTGACCAGGTCGAATGAGAGAAGCCCCCTCTCTCTCCACCTCTCTACCTCGATCTCATTCTTGCTCTCTCATTGCGTGAAACAGCGCACACCTGTTGCATTTTGTTGCTGCTGCTTGGTGCCCAAGCCCCTGGCGAGTGGCATAAATAAGTAAGAAAAGGGCTCCCCTCCCAAAAACGGGAGTCTTTTAAAGCAACTCAGGGTACTTGGCCATAACTTGTGTCAGTTGCAAGTGGAACTTTACGATGCTGTTGCCAACTTGCTGTCTGACAGCATCCGACAACAAACTCAGCGGGTCTGACTATAACTTCAACTCGCCAGGGCTTTCTAGGTATATTCGCCAGTTTTCTTGAATGCACCAAATGCTCATTCTATAATATCGGAAATTAACTACAAAAGTGCCGCTTGGAAACCATTAAGCAAACTAATTTCGTTGCCTTTCTTGGCTTTACATAAAAACAATGCCGAGCTTTTCCTGATTGTCGAATAGTCTGCCCAGCTAACAAGTTGCCGCAGGTGTTATAGTTACATATATTTTTTTTATTGGTTTTTCCCTTTCTTAACAACTTGCCTCAATTATCATGAATTTTTTCCAACACTTTTGTTAGGCGCCGCTTATTAGCTCGTTTCCTCTCCACTGCCACGCCCACATCCTCAATTCATAAACCAAGCGAAAGACAAAAAAACACAAAACAAGAAGAAAAAAACCTGGAGTAAAAATTACTTTTCATTCGTTGCTCTTTGTTTGTTATTAATTACGCTTTCCAGAGCGTTCGCCTCTCGGCTTCGTTTTCGGCCAATTGAATTATTGCACTCAAGACAATGGAAGGTCGAATTGGTAGAGCAAAAGGGCAGCCGGCAACCAGCAGAGAGGAAGCTGGAACAACAACAACAAAAATGTAATGGCGTTTGCTCTTATTATAGCACTGAAAGCATAAATATTTAAGCAACTGACAACTGGGATAACGAGATAATGGCCAAACTGTAGCCAAGTGTCCAGGTGGGAACTACAACAAAAAGATAAAATTAAGAAACATCCAAAAAATTTCAACGAAATTAGGTTAAATTTATAAAATGTGCAGGCGTCCATTTAGAAATAGAGTGTACGAGACAGCAGTAAGTTAATTATGTGCTCCATAACTTGCAAAGACATTTTTAATTGTGATTTAGCTTGCTAAATATATAAAAGCAAAAAACTCAACATAATCTAGAGTTATCATTTGAATATGTTTTGCATGGTATGAAGGTAACAAATTACTTGACTTTCTAAAATTCGTCTCCAGTTAAAATATAATTTGCCTTTACTTTATCACTTCGTTAAATTTAATACAGGGTATAAGTAATTCGACTTTAGGCTACAGATTTGCTCTTTCTCTGCTTATTTTTCTCTTGTATTTTTCGCTTTGTTAATTTCTGCTACAATTTTGCCGGCTTTGATCAAAAGGATATATTACGCAGCGACTGTGAGGGCAGACTGTTATATTAATATGTGTGTTGATTTCTGTTTGCTGAAATTAACCTTTTCCTGCCTCCCCCCAAACCAACGCCTACCCGTCTCGACTGCCGAGATGCCCACTGCTAGATAAGTTCTAGGGAAAAGGGTCAAAACGCAGTCGAATGTGTTTCGCTATGTTAACTGCCTGACCCTTACAGTTGCCCGCACCCCTTGTCCTAATGTGCACCGCCGCCCTTCAGTACTCATTGCCTGCCTCATTTAACTGAGGTCATAAATATTCTAAATCACCAGCGGGGCCAATGTCGGCTGGCAGCCTCAAGTTGTTAAGATAATAAACTTTGTAATTAATTTTGCATCGTTAAACGGGAGAAAGAGCAAGTGAGACATTTGAGAGAGAGAGAGAGAGAGAGAGCAAAAGCTAGATAGCGAGACGCGACAATGTTCTAGTTTAATTTCAGTTGCTGAAGCAGTTTTATTCGCGAACTTCTTTTCATGGCGTCTAATTGACTTCACTCACGAATTTTCATTATTCGTTAGCCTGTGCTCAGTTCTTCATTTTGGTTTAGAACAATGTGAAATAGCTTTTGGATAGTCTGTGTCCCTCTTGCTGTCTCTTTACATCGAGCTCAATCTTTATATTAATATTCATAATCATATTATTAACTTTTTTTTGCCATCCTTATGCCCATCACGTCATTAATATTGTATAATCATAAATGCATTACACCATGTTTTTCGCTTGCTAAATAATTACACTCTCTGGTTCTTATAATGCTCATTACATTTGTGTTTCCCTTGAACTTTTTATTACAGATACTGCTGGCGAACTTGGATGGGCATTCACCCTAATTGTAGTCTCAATCATATCGGCTCTTATAGGTGCTATTGTAATGGTCATAGTTCTAAGATGTAGAAGGTGAGTTTATCGAAATTACAATTGAAGCCGTCGCAAACACATATTGAAAAGCTATTGCTTTTTGATTGGCTCGTTGGCAAAAGCAGTTTATGTTGTTTTTATTTCAGCAATTAAGGCATCCATATAAATTTGCAATTTAAATTAATTGCCCAAGACAAACAGCTAGGCAATAAATAAAAATGCTAATAAATATACATATTTTGGCATTCGGCTAGAAAAATACCGCAATTAGTCATCATAAACATATATCACTATGATCATATACAATAACGTGTAAAAAAAAAACAAATGTCCGACACGGACATTCAACTCCATGCCCCACGACGACCCCGACGATCCGTCATGCAGCGACATTTACAATGCCAGACAAATTGAGTATACGACGGATATACATATACGCGAATATATCAGCACTATGAGTAATTTTGTAACTAAAAGATTTACAATGTACTTGCACACACAATAACAACAACAACAGCAACAAAAACAATAGCAACGCCATCTACAACAACAACAGTAAACCGCAAAACAGCAATTCAATTAAACGCCCACCAACAGCAAATAGCGAAACAGAAACCTTTAAAGCGCCCCCAAAGCGGCAAGAATAGCGGCAAAAATAATCGAAGCGCAAAACAAAAGAACATGAAATTGCTTTATTACTTAATTGCTCTTTAAAATAAACACACACAACAACAGCAACAATAACAATCGGAGGCTACACTTATGCCACAGGCCATTTCTTGCGAAGTCTATCAAAGGCGTAGAGTGGGTCAGTCACATGTAAACACACACACAACACACACATAGTACACACTCAGTAATCGCGACAAGATACATTTAAATGGACAATCATTTGAGCAAGTGCGGCTCTGGGCGGGGTATTGTCAAGTGTGCGGGGGCGTTGGCAACACGCGAGCTAAAAATTAACCAAAATTTTCGTTGGCATTGCGCAGGCGCCGCTGTTGCTGCCACTGCCACTGCCTCAGACTCAGTCTCAGCCTCAGTCTCAGTCTCAGCTCGCGTTGCCTATAAAACGAACACTGGCCACATGTCGCGTCCAATTAAATTGTCATGTTGTTGTATTTTGACGGCATGTTTGCATAAAATTAATTTCGCAAATAATTTGCCAAAGCAAACAAACAAATGAACAAACAAACACAAAGGCGAGACAAGTGAGAAACTGATGCCGCGTAGCGAATTGACGACTTGGGGAATACCCTATACGAATAAGGGGATTATACCATGCAGTTGCCGGATTTGCATAACTTGAAAAAGTAGAGCTTACCAAACTAGCCCCAGATATAGTAAGAGAAATATTTACATAAGGCTTACTACACTTTTGTATAAAGTTTAATTCATAATTCATTTCTCGTAGTATACCCTACAGGCAAATATGTACAGGTCAATTAAGCACAGCCTCTAACGACACTTTGAGTTGAGTATTCGATTGAGTGGGGGGAGGGGACTGAGGAGGGGTTTTACTCGTTAATGTTAGTAGCTGCTTTTTTGGTTACGCATTCACACGCTGCTTGTCTGGCTTAGATTTGCCATTATTTAAACTGGACTTTGGGCACATTGCCTATTTACCCCCCTGTGGCTGCCACAGACACACCCCTTTGCTCACCCCATAAGTTAGCAATCGGATTGTCACGCTGTTCACCTTGCCGTCAGCTTTAGTCAGTCATTTCGCATTTGTTTTTGCAACTGTTTCATGTCAGCTGGCGGTTCAGTGGGTTCGGTCGTCGTGCTTGGACGTGTTGGCTGCCAAATTAGCAGCAATTACATGTAATATCGGTTACACTTATTTGCATATTGATGCAATTCTCGATCGTCTAATGGTGCTATAAATTTGCTTGGCACATGTTGCTCCAGCCACAAGTCACAAGTTGCCAAGTTTGCCAAGTTGCATGTGGTACTTGTTTTACTATTTTGGTGCATGATTTGTTAGTGGTCACCTTAGAACTTGAGTTTTAATGGCACCTGCCATTCGGCTTGACAATGTTTGCTCAGTGTCTAGACACTGTAATGGTAACACGGTTAATGTCTTTCTGCTGAGCCACTTGTCGGAAAAACTCCAAAGCACACATTGACTTGCAATGTTGATTGTGGAATTGACACTAGCGTTCACATTACTTGCTCTGCCTTGTGAGTGACTAGCGTTAAATAAATGTTGTTATGTCAATTGAGATACTTTTTAGTTCACGTTTAGATGTTGCAATCTGTTTGAAGCCACTCGTTATGCAAAATCAATTTAAAATTAAGACACTTTTTGATTAGACAAGTCATAAACATTAAATCGCTTTGGCAATGGGAAATTTTAAAACTGTTTGCATCATGTAGTCTTTGCAATCTTCTGTTCTTTTTCTTCGCTCTTAAGTTTAATTATTTCAATTAAACTTAATTATTTTAATAATGTTTCTGCCCACACACACCAAATTCCAAGGCCTGCCTTAGCTCACTTTGTGTTGTTTGACAAATGTTAGATTGCAGAAAATGGTCGCTTCGTGCTCGTGTTTCATAGTTTGATAAACGAAAAAAAAATCAAATTCAAGTTTAAAACGTTTAAAGCAGCTGCAACAACGCTGAGCTACATAAAAAGGCGTGTTCAATTAGCATGCTCCAAGCTCGATAAAGGAAAAAAAATTGTCTGCTGACGAAAAACAAGCTCAGAAAATTGAACATAACATTTCAAAGGAAAAACATACAAAAAAAAACACTGTAGAAAAATAAAAGAAAAACAGTTGGAAAATTAGCGCAGAGCAAAGGCACGGCCCCAAGACGATGACTGCCTGAACGGTGAGCTTGTTCAATTTAATTGAATTGCAAAAGGAGTGAAAAAAGCACACACACACACACACAGGCAACAACGAGTCGAATGCGAATCAAAAAATCGAACTAAAGTTGACTCAACTCAAGTTAACATTATAATCGATCAAGGCAAAGCGAGGGGAACATTTAGCCGCATGCCGAACTGCACTCAATCAAAGCGGACAATATACGGGCGGACGGACATTAGACGGTTAATTGATACGCACAATCTATTTCCATTAGGTTCGTGCTCAATCTGACCCAGAAAACGTTGGGGCAAGTGCAAATAATAATGCGGGGCTAAAGTTAATGGCAAACCAAGAGAGAGAAACTGTTAGTTAGAAAATTGCTAAGCATCAAGCACATCTAATACAGTAGAAGTACCAGAAGACGACTACAAAACGACATCAACATACAACAGAACAGTTCACAAATCGGACAGCTAATCCGGTTCAGCCTCATCAACTCAACTACACTTATCCGCTGATTTTGTGCGCTAATCTAATTGCAACTGTTGTATGGCAACCAATGGTGAATGCAGTTGCTGTTGCTACTTGGGGTGTTGCTGTAATGCAATTGTGCTGTTGTTGCTGTTCTTTTTATATACCTCTTATCTGCTGATATACATATATTTGTTGCAGTTGTTTATCTGCGTGTCACACGCAAAAAAAAAAGCACTTTGATTTGCGTAGATGAAGTTTGTGTCCTAAGTCTTTCGTTTTGGCATTTGCCATTTGTCGCAGTTTGTTGGCATTGAACCGTTTCGCGTTTGACATTTGCTTTGTGCTAATTTATGTTTATTTGTACCGCCACCAATTTATGTTTTTTTTATTAATTGCAACATTCTGTACGCTTCTTATCTTTGCAGAATTAAATCAGCGAATGCCAATGGTAAGTGAAAATCAAGTTTTTACACTTAAACGAAGGGGTCTGAAGTGTGAGAGAGATCGCGATAATTGCTATCTTTATAATACCATTAAAGTATTTAAGATAACTATTCAAATTGCAGCATTCGATTTCACTTAAACGATTTATTAATAGACTACAACCTAAGCTCCCTATAAGCGTTGTCGTTACTTCCGTCATGCAAAAAACCACATTTCAAAGTTGATCAATTAGTTCCTTGGTTTTTGTCTGCTTCGTTTGATTAATTAAGCAAGCGTCTCTTTTTTTTTGCATCTTTTCTTATTCTTAGCATGAGTCGCCACCAATTTGATTTTTTTTTTTTTTGCATTTGCATTTCCATTTTTAATTGCATAATTCTGGCATTGCATGCGATTCGCGGAAATAAGCTAGCTTGGGCTTCAGTGGCAGGGCAAAAAAAAAAATGTGTGGCACAAGTGGTAACAATTTAATTTGTTTTCTCTTCAGTGCGGTTGCTGTTGAGTTGTTGGCAAAGCGGACATACCAATTTTTGATGACAATGCATGAAGTTCACGTTCGTGCCACAAATCTAAGATGCTGCCAAAATGGAAACCGAAACCAAAAGCAATGCTATGATGACTATGATGCCATGATCCTACGTGCCCCCAGAGCCCGTGTCAGCTTTCAGCTAAAGAAAATTTGTAGACAAATTAAGGCAAAGGCTAACAATTGTCTTCAGTGCATTTGCTATTGGCATTGGCCGTTCCTTTAGACTCGCTGGCTCTTAAACACGTTCGAAAATCGTGCAAAAAACTTTTTTGATTTAGTTGCTCGGTATTTCTGTTCTTCTTATACAGTAGGCAAATTATTGACAAACGAGCTAGCGTCGTACTCCCTCAGGTCTCTGGGTACGTGTGGACCCTTTTTGGCGAAATCTCTCTTTTCGTTTGGCGCCAATTTCACTGTCTGTCTGCGTCCTGTGCTGACATCGACATGCAGGACAAATTGTTGACGGCATTTAATGTCACAGCAGCCAATTAGCTGTCCCATGAAAATCTCCACTTGCTGTTGTTGTTTTTATTGTTATTTTTTTTCTTTTGTGGGCTGTACGTTTTTTTCGGCTAAAGTTTTACAGTGTGTATCTTAGCTGTTGTTGTTGTCGACATTTTGGTGGTGCTACGCACGGTTGCATGTTGCGAAAACAACAACACAAAACAAAACAAAGTAAAACAAAACAAACAACAACAAAAAAACAAACAATCACCACAAATCGTTAAACTGTCAGCAGCTTTTAAGGCGGGCGATTATGTCGCAGTCAACGTCGTCGTCGTCGCCGGCATTGCTGTCGCCATGTGGCGACAGGCGCCAGTTGCCAGTTTTTAAAATGCCACAGAGAAAACATTTTCAATTGCCCAAAAAGCTGAGCACATTAAAATACTCAGCCTGCAGCTGATTTTATTGCACATAAAAATAAGTAAATAATTAAATGGCATAGAAAATACCGTAAGACACCTTCACACAGAAAAATAAAAAAACAACTAATTTCAACATCTTTTGGCATTGCCAAAACTATGCGAAAGGCCATTTACTATTGAAAATGCATTTTGCAACAGCAAATTGCAGTTGGTGTCGCTAACATAGGAAATTCTGTGCAATTATCTTGAATGCTGCCAGGCAGACAACGTGGCGCATGAGCAACATTATTTTAATTATGCATTCGCCGAGATAAGAGCTGCCATGTGACAATTCACAGAAAGGCATTCAAGTCGGTAGTAAATATGCTGACAGTCATTGGCATTATCTGTCCGACTATTAAGACTTCATTACACATGTCATATGCGCCATTTGCTGACTTGTTTCCCAAAACCAAACGCGACGCAAAACACAAATTAAATTCCAAAATGCTCGTTAATATTTTTTTTCTAACTATTTACTATATTTATTTATTTTTTTATTTGTTATTTTGCATCACAGCCACGTTGAACACAGAGCTTTTAGTCGAAAGCTGCTGCGAAATATTTTGTTAACAAAATTTTGCAGTTGCTGCCGCTGGAGCTGCACGCAGATAAGCAGCACCAGATAAGGCTGGCAGCGGTAGCTGTTGCAGTTGCAGCAACAGCTGCGACCAATGCACGGTGGTTCAAATATTTGTAAAGTTGCTGTGAATGAATTTCGATTAAAGTTTTGTTAATTAAATTAACAGAGTAAACAGAAGATAAGTTTTGTGATTTCATAGCTTCTGTCCTTTCTCTTCTTAAATTCTTCCCAAAATATGGGCTACAAATTATTTTAAATAGTATTGATCACTTTTCTATAGTTTGTCTTTAGTTATTATAAAAAGTTAGACTTGACATAAATGAAGCACTTTTCTAAGGGATATTTGAGCCGGTTACAAATATAACATTTATCATCTCGCAACATTTTGCACACTTAGTCAACAGATTGGCACCACTGTGCGTTGGGGCCAGCAGCAGGCATAAGTTCAATGCAATTGCTACAGTAGCAACAGCAACATCGTTAACACAACACATAACCAGCTATTAAAGCCAACTAGTACTACCAACCAAGTCCGAATCCAAGTCCAAGTCGGACTCTGAAGTCCGAGTTGGAGTTACAGGCAAATATTGCAGTTGGAGTTGGAGGCTCTGGCGTTTGTGACATGCACAAAATGCATGTATATGAGCACCTACGGACGATAAGGTTGGGTTAATAATCGCCACAGTAACAAGCAAACAGTTAGAGTTACACACAAATACATACACACACATATATATGTATATATATATGTATATATATATAGTCAGAATTGGATATTCGCAGTGGTGGCACATTCAGTACGTAAATCATAAGCATTAAATGCGCCACCGACTTAAATGGCTGCATTATGCATGTGCATAACTTTGAAAATTGGCCAGTGGTTTTCCATGTAGTTGCGTATATGCATTCCTCTAATTAGTTGGATCGCCTCTGGCGAACAGTTTTGGCTCACTTGAGGGTAATGAGAGTGAAAGGCAATACGATGCAACGGTGTTAAAACCTGAGAATTCTGTGTAATCATTAACTGGATGAGCTGGATGAGCTTGCGGCAGTCGCCACTGGCAAGTGGCAAGTGGCAAGTGGCAGTGGGCAGAGCGGATGTTGGAACAGGTCTTGGTCTGGTTGTGAACTGAAATTACTTTAACAAGGCATGAGGAATCTATAAAGATGCTGTTAGCGGATAAGCACTCCATAAATTGTTAACTCAAATGAATAGAAATTTTACAGACTTCCTATATGAAAATGTTTTTTCTTGAACTGTTTAGCTCTATATGTGTGAATAGCTAAGGTTAATGATCTTGGGGCTGCAACTCATAATGTGTTTATATATATATATATATAAATATCTTTATATGCCAAGGATTACTCATGCGATTTAGCTTCTTGCACAATGAGATCAAACTGGCTGATTATTAAGGATCTCACAGTGTACGTTGAGAGCCAACCAGCGATTTGGCATTTTGGCCCAGTCGCCCGTTACTCATGTGGCACTGCAACTGCAACTGTGCCACATGGTGCTGCTGTTTGTTGGCACCTCGCTGCCAGATGACAGCCGTTTAATTTACGCTTTGTTTGTCTTGCTGTTTGTTTCTCTGTTTGTTTGTTTTGTTTGTTGTTCACGTTCAATGAGGTGAATGTTTGATTTATCGCCCGATTATAGAACCAAATGTCATAGATTTCTGCGTTGCAGCAGCAGCAGTAGCAGCAGTAGCAGCAGTAGCAGCAACGATTCCATTTGTCGAATCAGCATTTAGCCACTTTAGCCTTACGAAATGTCCAAATACCAAAGCAACTACTCATGTGCATTTGTTTGTTTGCTGCTCTGCATCTCTTACAGGTGGTCGCCCGCAGCCGTGGTGGTGTCGCAACAATCGCAACGGTGGCGGCCAGAATCGCTCGCCAATCTCCATTAAACACTCGGCGGACAGCATACGGCGACCCACAAGCAACTCGGGCGTCTGGACCTGGCTGGGCGGCAGTCGTCGCTCATCGGCGGGACCCGATCAGATTGGTCCGCCATCAACATCGCCGGCCGAGAATCATTATACCCACATGGATGATGCATATAGTCCGGTTGGCGTTAGCGAAGCCCTCTATGCCGAACTGGATCGCGAATCGGTGCGTTCGGCAAATCCGTCGTATCAGAATACGGCTTACAGTCAGTGTGGCGAGGTGAGTAAAGATATCAAAGTCTAATCTGGAATAGAACTGGGATTCTCTGCTAACATCACAAAAAATTATTGCTTATCTTTCATCGTTTTTAAAATCCAATTCCAACAATGGATAAGCAACCCTAATCTTCATTAAATTACTTTAACGTTTATCCATGCTATTCTTAATCTCTTACAGAAATACAATTTCCAAGCACACGAGCAAGACATTCCCATGGTCGTCTCGTCAGCGCCAAGTAGTGCCTACTATTCGGATCTGTCCGTTACGGCCATGCCGGGCGGCGCCAGTGGCAGCAACCAAGGCGCCTATGAGATTGTTGGCCTAAATGTCATGTCACAGCCGCTGCCCAATTGGGAGCATCATGTCGGTGGTGCTGGTGGTGGTGGTGGTGGCAATGGAGTTGGCGGCGTGGCCACCACCGGACTGGCGCCGGGCGATGCTGCAGCAGCTGTGGCAATGACGCAACGCCGCATGCCACGTCTGGCGGCCATTAATGAGACGAGCACCAGCACAGTGCCCTCGGACTATGTCTGAGCAGAGGATGATTATTTATATAAGAGATATGTGACTTTAAAAAAGTGAAGAGATGGAAGAAGTGCGAGCTTAACATGTTAATTGTAATCCGTTACATACAATCTATATATAAAATAGATTTAGATATAGATTATATACATATATATATACATATATATATATATATATATATATGAACAGTATATTGATTTATATATAAATAGTTGTAAGGATATATATTATATATTTATAGCATATGCTAGCTTAGAGTTAGCGTAGTCTCGATTTGTGTCTTTGGTTTATGTCTGAATTGTAATATAGTGCGACAGATTTACATACAAGCATGTATTATAAATCTAGTTTTAATTTAGTGTTAAACAGCGATTTAATCGTGGGTGATATTTAGCCTAAATATGCTATATTCTTATGTTCTATGTACTTTAGCATTTTCTAAAAATGTAAAACAACAACAACAGGCAAAAACAAAAGCCCAAAAACAGCAAAAAACAACAAAAAAAAGGAAACGAATTATGAGCATTTTTTGATGAGTTTAGAATAAGGTGGGAGAAACGCAGTTCAGTCTAAACGAAACACCCCAACAATGTACCCAAAATCATATAATGGCATTTTACGTATTTATATACAGCAACAAGCACACACACAACAACAAACATTAATATTTACAGCAAATGAATTTATGCTTACAGGAAATATATATATATACATATATCTTTAAACGAAGCAAATGAAACATATTTACAACGATTTTAACGCAAGAAAATAAAAAGGAAAACTATTTACGAAACACAGAATTATTTATACTGCATGAAAATATACAATACTACATTATATACACACTCCCCAAAACTGGGCGATTTGCCACGACACTCTCAGCTCTCCAACTCCAGCAAGTAGCACATCATATCATTTACATACTACAGCATTAACTCAATATAAATAAATACATTCATACATTGTATACAAACAATTTTCCAAGCATATAACTTAGTAGACATACATATGTACTTTAGATTTAATAACAGCAGCTGCCAATGCTGAATTAATTTAATTTTTGTACATTTTGTTTTAGTTGAAAATATGATTAAAAACTATTGCTATTTACATTCTGAATCCCAAAAATAAGTGAGTTTTATTTATCCCTGTTAGACAATAGTGAACAGTTTAACAGTCAACACGATTTAAGTCTAATATTTAACAATACGTTGTAGGAAGTTTAAAAAATTGGCGATTTAGTTTTTGACACCATTACCAACAAATTTACAGATAAATATTATTATTTTCATTCATGTCTATCGAAATAAATTGTAATGTAAAAAATACATGGTGAACTTTTTAATATAAAAAATATATATTACTTTCAAGTTGCTAAACTTCAAATATACATTTCGAGAGAGTCGAAAATTTCCATATTGTTCAATCGTATTCAATCTCTTCACCCATTTCTGGTACATAAATACCATCATCATCATCAGCTGCTGTGTCAACGGCATCAGCTACTTGTGCAGACTCCAATTCCTTAAGCTGACGCGCATGGATTTTGTAGTGGGAGCGTAGTGCCGCCTTTTGCCTGAAACGTCTGCCACATTCCACACACTCGTGTGGCTTCTCTCCCGTGTGGATCAGTTCATGTTGATTTCGTGTCTCTGGCTGAATAAAGGCGCGCTCACAATAACGACAGAGATAGTTTCTCGCTCGCTCGTGTATTGTGCGAATGTGCTTATTCAGATTGCTGGAGCTGTAACAGACCGTCGAGCAGAGATGGCAGGCATAAGTGCGCTCTAGCGTATGATAGTTTAGGTGAATCTTCAGTTCAGTCCGCGTCGTCTTCTGCACACCACAATATGAACATGTATAGTTCTTGATACCCGCATGGCGCATCATGTGTATCTTCAACAGCTGTTTGGTGGAGAAACGTCGCTCACAGTTTGGATCCTCGCATGCGAATGGCTGCGCTAACTTGTCCTTGTGTGTGAAACGATGCGTATTGAGCAGCGATATCGTATCAAAGAGTTTCCCACAGAATTCGCAAACGTATGACTTGTGCTCCTTGCCAAGCTTGTGACACTTTCGCATGTGCAGGGTCAGCGTATGCTTATGACTATAGCCCCTGTCACAACCTGGTTCTGGGCAGGGAAACAGACTCTTTCCATGGCGACGCTTATGCGACAGCAGGCGCTGCTCGTTTAGGAACTGCGCGGCACACATATCGCATTTGTAGACATCTTTTGTCTCTGTTGACCAGGTACTCTAAAATGAAACCAATGACATACAAATCTATAAATTCAAAGTGGAGTTAGCTTACTGTAACGACATCCATCTCCTCATCGGCCTCCTCTATAAGTGCAGGTGATTCACACACGAGATTCTCAATTTCAAGCTCTGAAGTTTCAGTTCGCTGGATATCACATTTGGATTCAGTTCTGTCCGCGATTTCACTGCTCTGCTCCAATTGCAGCTCATCGACTTCCAGCGTGCTTGGTGCCACCTCCAAGTCATAAACAAGTTCCTCATCATCGCAAAATGCCAGAATTTGCATGCGCCATTTCGTGTCAGCTGCAATGCACTTGGCACGAAATGCATACAGCTGATCCAACTGGGTGTGGCACGCCTGGCACAGCTCACTTGGCAACCGCTCATCCTCGTCGATGGACAGATCTGTGCAGGTGACAAACTTGTGCGCCAGCATGGGCAGCTCACGCATATTAAAGCTGCCAACGGTTGCGTTCAGTTCAGACATGCAAACCCGACAATTCGTAATTGTAGTCGTTGACATCGGTAATCAAATTAACGCATCTAACAACGGATAAAACGTCAATCAAACGCCAGTAAAATGGCATTTATTTGTTTACGCACGAAACAGCTGCGCAGAAAACAATCGACTATCGATAAATTAATAGTGACAGCAGTGACTGCAGAGACCAGTCACAGTCACATAAGTAGTCACTTCTCAAATAATGCTAGTTTTGGTAAATATGAAATAAAGTGGTATTATAATAAAAATTTATTAAATTAGCATTCAAAGATATGATCTATTCTTAGAAATTCAAGTTGGGCTCAGTTAGGATTTGAGCTCGAAAATTTTACAAATGCCAACGACTGTGACTTGTTCACCGTGAACTTTAAAGTAACCGATTTGAGTAATGCGTACTTTAAAATACTTGTTCTGTGTAATAGGTGACCCCCATGTTGATTGTTTACGTTTAGGTCCAAAGTTCATCATAGAATCACTTAAAAATGTTCAAGTTAAATAATATCGGAACGCGTAAATTAATTTTAGATATTTATAAAAACCGATTTTATTCGGCCGCCGTACCAAAAACTAAGCCGGAACCAGAGGCGAGCAAGGAACCCAAAAGAAAAAATGTATCTTTTATTGCAAACATGCATCGTGGCATTTTGGCCTCGAAGGAAGTGTTCCCCTATCCAGATGTCCTAACGCTGGAGCAGAAGGAGACAGTGGACAGCATGCTGGATCCTTTCCAACGATTCTTCACCGAAGTAAACAATGCTGGACGCAACGACGAGAACTCTGTGGTCGATGATAATACACTGAAGAATTTGTGGGAACTCGGCGGCATGGGCATCCAAGTGCCCAGCGAATATGGCGGCCTTGGCATGAATAATACGCAGTACGCCCGACTGTGCCAAATAGTTGGCGCCCATGATCTGGGACTGGGCATTGTGTTGGGTGCCCATCAGAGTATCGGCTTCAAGGGCATTATGCTGTATGGAACGCCCGAACAGAAGGAGAAATATTTACCCAAAGTGGCATCGGAAACAGTTTACGCTGCCTTTGCGCTTACCGAGCCCAGTTCTGGATCGGACGCCAACTCCATACGCAGTCGCGCCGTGAAGAGTGCGGACGGCAAACACTATGTGCTAAATGGCTCAAAGATTTGGATTTCGAATGGTGGATGGGCCGAGGTGATGACTGTGTTCGCCCAAACGGAACAGCTGGACAAGAAGACTGGCCAGATGAAGGATAAGGTGACCGCATTCATTGTGGAGCGTGCCTTTGGTGGCGTTACCAGCGGTCAACCCGAAAAGAAGATGGGCATCAAGGCCTCCAACACGGCAGAGGTCTATTTCGACAACGTCAAGATACCCATTGAAAATGTTCTGGGCAAAGAAGGTGAAGGATTCAAAGTGGCGGTAAACATTTTGAACAGTGGACGCTTTGGCATGGGTGCGACGCTATCGGGCACGATGAAGAAGTGCATCGAGATTGCAACGGAACATGCCAACAATCGTGTGCAGTTCGGCCAAAAGATCAAAACATTCGGAACCATTCAGGAGAAATTGGCCCGAATGAATATATTGCAGTATGCGACTGAATCGATGGCGTTTATGATTGCCCAGAACATGGACTCGGGCAGCCAGGATTACCATTTGGAGACGGCCATATCGAAGATTTATGCCTCTGAGTGCGCCTGGCAGGTGTGCGACGAAGCTATCCAAATTCTAGGCGGCATGGGATTCATGAGGGAGACCGGACTGGAGCGTATAATGCGAGATTTGCGCATCTTCCGCATATTCGAGGGCACCAACGAGGTGCTCCGCTTGTTTGTCGCCCTCTCCGGTGTCCAATATGCCGGCAACCATTTGAAGGAGCTGCAGCGCGCATTCAAAAATCCAGCTGCCAATCTTGGCTTCATATTCAAGGAGGCTTCCAGGCGGGCAACATCTACAATTGGCTTGGGCGGCACCGATCTGAGCGCCAATGTGGTACCCGAATTACAGGAGTCTGCCAAGAAGACGGCTGCCTGCATTGATCTGTTTGGCAAGACCACCGAAGAGGTCATCATGAAGTACAATAAGAACATCATCAACGAACAAATCATATTGAATCATCTGGCGAATGCTGCTATCGAAATCTATGCCATGATGGCCACACTGTCTCGATCGACGCGATCTGTACAACTTAATTTGCCCACGGCGCAACATGAACTTAACCTAACCAAAGCCCTGGCCATCCAGGGATCCGAACGAGCAACTCTGCATCTGAGAAAGGCGACCTCAGGCCAACTGAAATCCGAAAACACTTTGACATCCTTAATATCGGAGAAGGTCTGCGAAGAGAATGGTGTCCATTCAACGGATGTCATCGGCTTAAACTAAATCGTGAAATTACAGGCAACAAAAAGATGGGGTGTGAAAAATAGCTAGTAAATGTTAAGCCCATCCTCCATCCAGTAGCAAATCATGTCTGTTTCTATATTAATTTTGTGTATCTTATTTCGAAATAAACGTGTTTTTTAAATTTAAAAACTTGTCTCATTTAACACTCAACCGATTAGCATTGAGATAAGCACAACCCGGCTAATCATCGCACTGCAAGTGAAAGTCTAAAGTCTATGCAGATATAGCTTTGAATTGTTGGTGCTATATTCAAATGTTTTGTTTACCCTTTAATATTTTTCAATATGTATACATATATATATAGATATATATATGCTGTGACTTGTGATATTTGAAACATGAAATATACAAAATTACTTCACTGGATGAATAGTTATAAATTATATAATTTATTATAAATAATAGATTAAAATAGTTTACACCTGCTTAAGTAATACTTGGCTAATGATTAGCTTAAGTTACTGCATATTTAATTCGATTAATTACATTTGCATCTAAATTCGACATAATTTTGAGTGAATAATTTACACATAACCATTTACCACAGTTCCTGATACATAATCATTGCTACTAACACCCACATCTGTCCCTGTTCCTGTTTCTGTCTTATTTGGAGCGGATAACGATGTGGCCGAGCTGGAACTCGTCTCATTGCTCTCTCGCTCATGAATCTTGCGATGCGTGCGCAGTGCTCCCTTTTGCCGGAAGTGTCTGCCACAATCGGAGCACTCGTGAGGCTTCTCACCGGTGTGGATGAGCTCGTGCTGCTTGCGTAGGAACGGCTGGTTGAAGGTGCGCTCGCAATAACTGCAGTTGTAGATTCGAGAACGGTCTTTCTCGTGCACGCTGCGCATATGCAGGTTGAGATTGCTGGAACTGTTGCACACCTTCGAGCAGATGCGGCAGCAATAGGTGCGCTCCAGCGTATGATAGTTGAGGTGAATCTTCAGTTCCGTTCGCGTCGTCTTCTGCACGCCACAATAGGTGCAGCTATAGTTTTTGATGCCCGCATGGCGCATCATGTGTACCTTGAGCAGTTGTTTGCTGGAGAAGCGTTGTCCACAGCTGGAATCTTCACACATAAACGGCAGCTCCGATTTTTCCTTGTGGGTGAAGCGATGATTCTTAAGCCGCCAGAGAGTGTCAAATGTCTTGCCACAGAACTCGCAGACATGCGACTTGTGCTCCTTACCCAGCTTGTGGCACTTTCGCATATGGACGCTGAGTGTATTTTTGTGGCTATAGCCGCGATCACAGCCAGGCTCGGGGCAGGGATATGGCATCAGACCATGTTGACGCTTGTGCGCCTGCAGGCGATGCTGCTCCAAGAACTGCGTTGCACAAATATCGCATTTGTATATGGCTTTTGGCTGTTCCTGTGAATTGAATGTCTAAAATAGGCAATGGCTTATTAGAATTCCAAATTAAAATGAAAGCTTTAGCTTACCGGTTCGGAAACCCGTTCCAAACTGGCTTCGTTATGCTGTACAGCTGATGCCACTTGTTCCTCAATATTGGATATCTGTTCCATGTCGCATGGAGGATTTATATTTTCCTCCCTTTCTGGGAGCTGCGTTGGCTGCTCCTCAGCATCCTTAATAGGCTCCTCTTCATCGCAAAATGCTAATATTTCCATGCGCCACTTTGTGTCGGCAGCAATGCACCGGGCACGAAATGCATATAGATGCTCCAACTGGTCGTGGCAAGATTGGCACAATTCACTTGGCAGACGAGCATCCCCATCGATGGACAGATCTGTGCATGTGACGAACTTGTGCGCCAGTTTGGCCAGCTTACGCATATCATAGCTGACAGCGGGTGCATTCAATGGGCAAATGCACACCCGACACTTGGGCGTGGTAGACATCTGACAATGTACGCCGATTCGCAATTATTTATTAAGCAACTTTGCTGTACAGTGTGTCAGATATTTATTTTTGTTTATACCAGAAACAGCTGATGCGAGCAGTGTGCGAAAATGTGTCATTGCCAATCCAGTCGAAACAGTAAACTTTCCAACACTGGCCGTAATATGTGGGAGGCAATTTCATTGAATTTCATTAATAACACCACAAAATAAGAGCAAAAAGATGGATAAACCCAATGGTATACACTATATTGAGCTTGCCAACAATTTCATACGCTTCGATGCCGCCAGCCAGTTAACAAAGGTCTTCTTCGACGACACCAACAAGCAGGTGAGTAAAAATTAATCAAGTACTAGAAAAATGGGCGGATTTCAGTTATGTTTCTTCTGTTTTTTCTATTAGATATTTGCAGTGCGCTCGGGCGGTGCCACGGGCGTAGTGGTCAAGGGGCCCGCCGAAGACGCTGTGATCACGTTCTGCATGAGTGACCGTGGCGGCGACATACATTCGATTAAATTCTCGCCAGACAATCAAATTCTGGCCGTGCAGCGTGTCGAGAATGCTGTGGAGTTTGTGTGCTTTCAAGGCGATCAGCCGCAGCTGCAAGACATCATTACGCATCAGGTGAAGACGCTGATCTATGGCTTTGTTTGGGTGCACAATCGCGAACTGGCGCTCATATCCAACACGGGCGTGGAGGTCTTTCAAATACTGCCCGAGAAGCGACAGGTGCGTTCCGTGAAGGCGCTGAGCATCAGTATTAAATGGTTTGCGTGGTCCGGGGACGCCAATGTGGCGTTGCTGTGCACCACAGAGGGCAACACACTGGTGCCGGTGCTCGTCAAACAGAAGGTCATCACCAAGCTGCCCAAAGTGAACCGTGAGTAGAACCCAACAACCACCCGCCTTAACCATACACAGATAAACACATCAAGATCGCTTATAGTGGGCAATCCGGCGCGTGAGGTGGAGGAGAGCAAAGTGACGCTGGGCCGAGTGTATGGCGTGCTGGCCGTGTTCATACTGCAATCGAACAGCACCACTGGCATGATGGAGGTTGAAGTGCATCTGCTGAACGGTCCTGGTCTGGCGCCCCAAAAATGCCATGTGCTGCGCCTCAGTTTAGTTGGACGCTTTGCCATCAACACAGTGGACAATCTGATTGTTGTGCATCATCAGGCGACGGCCACATCGCTGCTCTTTGACATTGCGCTCACCGGCGAGCTGATCGACGACGTCACCTATCATGCGCCCATTACGCCGGGTCGCTCCATCAAACCATTTGGACTCAAACTGCCTTCGCTCCTGCCCGATGGTCACATTATGCAGTGCGAGCTGTGTAAGTGGAACAATGTGTTTGTGAAAATGATTATTTATTCTTAATTCGCTTACAGATTCCACGAATTGGGTGCTGTTCCAGCCAAATATTGTGATCGATGCCAAACTGGGATGTATGTGGTATCTAAATTTGTGCATTGAGCCACTCTGCAATCTTATCTCGGACCGCCTACGGCTCACCGAGTTTCTCCTTCAGCGCAGCAGTGGCAAACAGATGCAGCTAAAGGTCGTTCAACAGCTGATGGACGAACAGTATAAGGGCACGTTGCTGCCGGTGCTAGAGACGATCTTTGATAAGATCAATAAGATTTATGCGTATGCTAATCACTCCCCAAGCAGTCTCGATACTCATTTCCCTTATGTCTCTCTCATCAGCTCGTGGGTGCATCTAACGCTACAAAATCAAACGGCGCTGCCTTCCAATGTAAAGAGCCCAACTAATAAGCAAGCTACTCCGCCCATTGTACTCATCGAACAGTCAGATATGGTGCAAGTCTTTCAGTCCATTGCCGAGCGACCGCATATGGAAACGGTGCTAATGCTCTATCTACAATCACTGAACAAGTACAACATCGCCGCCCAGGAGGAGCTCAGCAAGATGATCATCAGTGAGCTAATACGCAATCGCAGCTTTGATACACTGCGCCGCCTGGTCAGCTATTCGATGCTGCTTGAGTCGAAACCCATTGCTTGCTTCCTTCTGTCGCACTCCGATGTCAACTCGGCCATATCACAGGTCGCCATCGATATGCTGGGCAAGATGCAGGCTTATGAGGTATATCCTATATATACATATATATTAGCCAAGCAAATCCCTGACTAATTGCATATTTCGTAGATTATTATTGAGGTGATGCTCGGCCAGGGCAGGGTCATCGATGCGCTGCGTCTGGCCAAAAACTCGTTGGGCACGGACAAGGTGCAGGCGCGCAAGTTCCTTGAGGCGGCTTACAAGTCCCAGGATGATTTGATATTTCACAGCGTCTACAGATTCTTCCAGATGCGCAATTTGCGCATGTACGAAACTCTCAACTTTCCTAAAGGTAAATATGAAATATAGATTTGAATATTTGAACATTTTGCCTAATTCTTACCTCAAATATTTCAGCCGAACAATGCACGGAATTTATACAGCATTATAATAATACGTTTCCAGCGGATAACGCCGTAAAGTTGCCGAAAAGCTGAGCCTTGGTTTTAATCTTCTTTTTATTTCAGTTTATTTTGTGATTTAGCTAATAATTGGGGTATTCACACTTGAGTCTATAAATAGCTTAAAACTATATTTTATATTAGAATAAACAAAACGAAACGAAATATAACAATCAAATAACGCTAAATTTAAATATTATATTTATGAAATTATTTTCGTGACATTTTTAATATGGTGCTCTCGATAAGAAGTATAATTAAATTGCGAAAAATTTAATTGATGGAATGAAACAGTTTGTTAATATTCTTGCCAAATATAGTTCACAATAATTACTATTAGAATATTAAAATACCGAATAAACATTGCTTTGGACCGACTCTAGGAACAACTGAATTTGTGTAATCAGCTAAGCTATTCACAGACTGCAGCCCTTCTGCTAAATGAGTACCCCTAATACTTGACAAGCACTTGTTTACTCACACAGCAACAAAAATATTGATGTGATTACACAATAAATACACAGAATAGCTATACATTTCGAATATAATACACATATATATATATAAATATTGAAATAAATTGCCTAGCAGAAGCGCCGCGGCGGTGCCTTAAGCTGCAGCGTACCCAGCTCCATTGTGCTGGAGCTATTGAATAAATGCTGACTGGGACATGGCAAGCGTATTGTGGATAACTGTGGCGCTTCGCCGGCATCATCCGTCATGGGCAACGCTGTGGCACAGCGTGGGCATTGCTGCAGCGGTGTCACTTCGACTAGGCAACGCTCGTGCAACGCATGTCCACAGGCACCCAGGACGAGCACCTGCGTCTGATCGTACAGACGCTGCCGGCAGATGAGACAACGCATATTGGTCACCCAAAGGCCGCGGCGTGCCACATGACGTTGCGCCGCAAAGTCTGCGTGCAGATTCTGGCAGAGTGTATCGGCAGCAGCGCGCAACGCCTCCGTCTCCTGGCGCGAGCTAATCAGCATGCTCATCAGCAGATCCTTGACGTCACCGAAACTGCTCGAAACGTTGTGCGTATTCATAATTAATTGCACCAGATTGTGTAGATCAATGTGCTGCGATGCCTCGTGCAGCAGGGATTTGGTAATGGACTGCAGCTCCTGCTGAGGCAATATATACTGGAGCAGCGTGAACCAGCAGCGTTCCAGCTGCTTCTCCGGCAGCGTTTGAGCCGAGCGCGCCAACAGTTGGGCAATTTGATTCGCTTCCTTGGCAGCTGCATCCGCTGGGGACGATTGCAGTAGCTCCATGGACAGCTCGAAGGCTTTCGCATAGCTCTCCTGCTGCTCGTAGAGATAGATGACGGCACGCTTCAGATGATGCCGCTCCACAATGTCAATGGCTTTGTCCAGGCGATAGCCGCTGCTCGAGTGCAGAAACTCCAAAACCGTATCGGCATCTTTCAGATTGCAATACAGCTCCAGCAGCAGTTCCATTTGCGTTGACTGCAACTCACATCGCCTGGCATTGAGACATTGCAGCAGTCGAAACAGCAGCGGCCTCTGTTCACTGAGCAGCGCTAGCAGCTCGGCAATCTTGTCCGGATAGTGGAGGGCGATCAGACGCGTCGTCTCCTCGCCGTTTATCTGCAGCAACTTGCCCAGGTGACGACGCAGCTGCTCATAAATGCAGCGTTCCCGGATGCCCACATGCCGCTCCATATAGGCGAACATGGTCTCATGCCGCGCCTCATTGTGTATGAGGCAATCGAGCATATCGTCATAGCGCCGCAGCTTCTCCAGTAGATTCTCCACCACATAGTAGCAGTGCGCTCGCTGCGCCAGCTCCAACTGCTCCTCATCGCTGCTGATGTCGACAAGGCAATTGCTCGACAGCAGCTCATGCCAGGCACTCTCCCGCTCCGAGTGCTGGCGTGCACTCTCATTCGCTATATTCTCCTGCGCCAGGTAGCTGAGCACACGTTCCAGCAGCTGCTTGTCCCGCGGCAGGCACTGCGTCGATATCTGTTGGGCAATGAAGTTCAACAGGCAACCAATTTCCGCCCACTGAAAGGGAAGAGAAAACATGAAAATTAAAAATTCTCAAATCAATTTTTTGGTAAAATTTCAATTCAGTAAATTGCTCAATATTCTGCTCAAGGCGAAACCATTAACAAAATGGTATGGCAAATCCTGCCACTCACCGTTGCATTCTCTGGCGTCATAATCTCAAGCAGCAGATAGATGATGCGCTTGCGATGCGAGTAGCCCAACTCGTTGCTGAACTCCTGCTCCTGGAATGCGAGGGAGATGACATTTAGGGTTTCTCGCGTATCGAATTTGAGTAGAGCGCGCAGATATGGATAGGGCAGCTCGTCCTGGGGACTGGCACTCGAGTGCTGTGAGGTGAGGCAGCGCAGCACATCGTGCTTGACCTGGTGCACCTGCTCAATGGGTATGTCGCCACTGGGAAAGCGACGGCCGGCCAAACAGCTGGACACATACACAAGCAGACAGTTGCCCAGATCGGTTTGATCCGGTTGCAGTGGTGGCAACAGCTCCGTTAGCGCTGTTGTGTAATCGTTCAGGGCGCAGGCATTCAGGTAGAGCTGTGCCCGGAACAGCTGATGCCGCTTGACCGCCTTGAGCACCTGATTCAAGTCGAGACACATCCAGTCGAGCTTGAGGATCAGCTGCTCCAACTTGGCCGGCGAATGCTGCAGCCAGTAATCGACCAGAGCCTGTGATATGACCGGATTAACACTCTGTATACTCTCCTGCTCAATGTGCTCCGAGATGTGCTGCAAAAAGAGCTCCGTATTGTTGTTGTGCAGTCGCTCCCAGAGCTGTGTCCACAGCAGCTCCAGTTCACCAATGGTTATCATGCAGTTCACAATCGAGCCCAGGCAATAGTCGGGCGCACGCGCCGAATTCGCGATGTACTCCTTGAACAGCATTATGATGCGTTCCTTGGCCTGGGCACGCTTCCGTGGACGTTCTGCGGATGCAATATAACCATCCAGAGCCAACTGGCAGGCCTCCTGCCAGCGATGATTCTTTACCTATGGATGGAGAGGTGTTTTAGAAATCATTCTGATTTAGTGGAAGATTTCAACTGGAGTTGCCACTCACCAGATAGCTAATGCGTTCCGACCAGGTGCGTACGCCGATGATGTGCAGAGATCGGGCGCCCAACACATAGAGCTGTGTGCCTCGCGAGACTACGGAATTGTAGCAGGCATTCGTACCGGCCAAGGCAAAGGCGGGCGAAACATTGCCGCCCGTGGCCAATCCCTTGAACTGTGCGGAGCCATAGACCAGACCCGCATTAGCCATATCCATGCACTCGAGCTCCCGGCTGGAGCGCACATCGACCAAATGCAGAATTTCGGACGTGTCCAGCGAGGCAACACACTTGGGGCCCAACCAGTGGGCCGAGAGCAGACTGCTATGCAGCTGGACATGACGCAAATAGAGCAGAGTGATGCGTCCATTGGCCACGAAGAGCTGGTGAAAGAATAACTGATTGCCTCGACCGACGACAATGACGGGATCCACGGATCGAGTGGTGTCCGCCGCCTGTATTAGCACCAGATGCCAGGCGAGCAGCGGCAGACAATCGGCGGGTCCCTGGAGCGCATGATACTTGATGACACGCAGACGCGGGCGCACCGTGACTATGAAATACTTCGAAAGCGTGGCCAGCGCCAAAATGCAATACTGATCGAGTTCATGTCGTCCCTGGGAGTTCATAATCAGTGGCTCCACGGCGCAGACCTCGCCGCGTGCACCGGAGAACAGGCAGCGGGAGGTACAGCCCCTGATCCCCAGTTTGCGGGTGAAACTCAGCGACCACACAGAGCCGCCGGCATCGGCACACAACGCCAGCGAGGAACGCGATGTCCACTTCACGTGCAGCACACCCGTATTGGGTGTGATCACATCAAACAGCTCTCTCAGCACATCGCCCGTCTGAGTGTCCACCATGATGACCAATCCCCGGGCATAGCCCGCAAGCAGACGTGTCGAGTCCGCATTGAAAGCGAGACTCGACACAGCACCTTGGCTTTGCTTGTCCTGGTGTGCCCAGCGCAGCGTCTGCGTCACATCGAAGTTGAGTATATGGCCGTGGGAGGTGCCCACTGCGATGTAGGCTGCCACAGCGCAGGCACTCGCCGCACCCGCATTGACGCGCTCCGCGGCCGAGGTGAGCTGGGCGGAAATGCCATGGAGGAGAGTGTAGCGCATTATGGAACCGGAACCGCTGCCGCCGCGTCCATCGGCGCGCACGCCACAATCCTCACCGATAGAGGGCGTTGGCGTTGCTCGCGGCACGGGGACTCCCAATTCGGAGGCCACATCCGAATCCGCCTCGAACTCGCTAAGCACCGTTTCGAGGGTGGGCAACACATCGGTGGGTGGTATAGCAAACTCCACATCGTCCAGCTAAGCATTGCCATTCGATTAATGAGAACTTTTTACACTTTTCAATTGTTTTAATTTTTTTACTCACTCCTTCGAACTCAAAATCCAGCTGCAAACTGTCTGTGGAGCCACGATCTGATTCCAGCAGCGATTGTAGCGAGGGTGCCTTTAACTCGGCCATGCTGCACGTTGTTGTTCTTTATTTTGTCCTCACTATTATATTTATCAACAACTTTAATCTTAATTTTTATCAATGAATGTCTGTACGCCCACCATTTTATCGATTATTAAACTAATCGCAAGCGTATCGATGGAAACCGGCAAATTAAATATTAATCGATACATCGATATATGGCGCAATACAGCTCTGCTTGTAAATCGTTCGCAGTCAGCTGTGAACTGGTTCAGCGTCGTAGTCTTTTGTTGCTTTCGCTGCTGTCCTTCATCAGTTTCATTTTAGCATTTATCGTGGCTAGTCACGTTCCGTAATCGCGCGCACGACGAAACCCGTGATTTTAACATTCAAATTAATTTAATTCAATAACATGCGATCGCTATGTGCGTGTGCCAACAACAATAATAATTGACACTCGACGCTGTGCAGCAACAATGTGGTCAGTGCGCGAAGGCTCAACCGGAAGCTAAACCAACAAAGCGCGCTGCGAGCGGCCGTGGAAATTTCGATTTTTGCATCAATCGCGCTTGGCAAAAATCAAAAAGAAAAAAAAACAAAGAACATAAAGCAAATAAAAGCAACAGAGACAAAAATGCCAAAAAATAAAATGCAGCGCCAATAACCAAAACGCTCTCGTCGAATAACAAATGCTAACGCGAGTATAAATAAATTTTGTTTATTTCGCTGTCCGTTTGTGATTTGTTGTGTGTAATTCCTTTTTTGCTTTATTGCTGTTCTTTGTTTGTTTGTGTTTTTTGGATCGACTCTCGCTCGCTCTCACTCTCTCGCATTATTCAATGCGCTGCGAGTGTATTGGTGCAGTGACGTAAACAAATGCAAAGTATACGACGAAATTTTTAACAAAAATGACAACAACAAGAGAACCGCATGCCGATGTCGTTTCACGTGCCAAATACACTGTAGCAATAACAACAACAGCATCATAAGCACAGCGGCGTTAACTTCTCGCCTTGTGTGTTTTGTGCAGCTCATTCGCTGCAAGGCCAGCTGAGCGCAACACGTTTGTGTTGTTTCTGCCTGCATGCGTAGGCGGTCTCTCTCGCTCGCTCTCAAATTTGCAAACGTGTGCGTGTGCATTGATTGAAACATTGTTGATGCGACAGGTAAGCATGTCATATTATTCTACACTCATACAAATACACAAAACTAACTGTAGTCTATGTGCGTGTGTTTGTATGTTATTTTTTTCTTTGTTGTTCCGCCGCCTGGTGTCAAAATTTACATAGTTAATTACGTTTAACTAGCAACTTCCACATAAATATGAACTTATCAATTAGTAAAACGAAGAGCGGCGCCTTTTTACAGGTAATTTTCCATACACACACATACACAAGTGGTTGCAGTCTCGTTTTACTTGTGTCGAGATAAGACAAGGCAACAACACATCAAAAGCAAAGCATTTTAATGACATTTCTGGAGCATTTTTACACACACACTCACACACATACACCGACAAAAGATATCCGACTCACTTTTGCCTCTTTGCTCTTTGCACTTCTTCTTCGCGCTAGTTTTTCCACATTTTTTTGTTTGTACCCTTTTGAAAATGTTGCATATCATGAATTTGTTAATTAGTTTGCAACATTTCATAATGATGCCTAATTGTTGATGTTGCTAAATATTCGTATTGAAATTTGGTTTAAATTTAATGAAACTAGTTCAGCTCAACCAAAAAAAGAAGAAGAGTTTTCTTAATTGATATAGGGTAATTAACAAATAAATAATAAATGACCTTCGTAAAGACATTAAGAATCGGTACTATTAATTATTCAAGTGCATTGAAAATTCGTTGCTTATCTGTTTTTATAGGGGGCTTTCCTGTTGGGGTTGTTGCTTTTGTTATTTGCTTTGCTTTGTGCTAGTTTTGCTTTTCATCTTGCTGTTCATGGTCACTAAATTTATTGGTCAACATTTTATCTTTCGGTGTCCGGCACCCACGCGGCGACGCGTCGGCAACATTGGCAACAGCAACAGCAACGGCAACTCCTTCAACTTGTCGTTTTGTTGTTCTTGTTGTTGTTTTTTTTTTGGGGTCTGGCGTTCGTGCGTCGTGCAACGCCTACATAGAAATTTAATGCTTCAACGCGCTGGCGACCGGTTCAGATTCGAGATGCTAGATGCTAGACGGCGATTCCCAACAATTTCCCGAACGTGGTCAACAGCCACCACATAAATATTAAAGAGAAGGGACCACGGGCCATAAAAAGCACAACAAATATTTTTCCAAAACATTATGAATTATGATCATTTTCCGTTAGTATTTTATTTTGTTCTCTATTCCGTTTGTGGAACGATAGTTTAATTTCAATAAACTTGGCTGCGACGGCCTCCGTTCGTTCCTCATATGCTAAACATTCTGTTCTCATAAGTTAATCTTTTCTTTGTCTACTAATTTTATTTGTTTATCTTTCGTTGGGGGTGGATGTGCAAAAGTATGTGTTTGTGGTTGATTCAGTGATTGCCGTCGAACAAATAATTTTACAAATTTGCATTTTCAGGCCTTATACCCATTGTTGTTGCTGTTTGCCACAATGATAAACGAGGGCATGTTAATAAATCAAAGGCAACATTGTATTGTGTGTCCTGTGTCCTGTATATATCCTGTGTGCACAGGTCCAAGAGCCAAGCAGATTGAGAGAGGAGAAAATAAAGCTGAAAAGTACTCGTTACAATGTCAGAAAGTTTTTGTTTTGCAACTTGCAACATGCCGCCGCGTGCTGCTTGCTGCTTGCTGCTTTGGGTCCTCAGAAGTAGAAAGCGAGCGTGCAACATGATTGGCCACTACACTCACAGAGCACAGAGGATACTCGTAATTCATATGCCTTGTAGATTTATGAAGTGCCCAGGCGAGCCTCTCTGACTACGTGGGCGTGCAGCATTATTGCAACAGCAGAGGAGGGGAGAAGGATTATGGGTGGCTGGGCTAACTGGGACATTATACATGCATCCTGTACATCCTGTGCATCCGGAGCATGCAACGGCTGCCATTGGCATTCTAATGATTTTTTATTGTTGTCGCTTAAGTGGCCCATTGTACAGCTGCTAGCATATTGTCCTCACATCCCACCAACAGTATAATCAACCAAACAGCCAAGCCACCCTCTACCCACAGCCCGTTAAAAACGAAGTTTGTTATGGCATCCAATCGAGTTGTGCAACTTGTCCAAATTGCTTCACATTTCTTTGAAGTGCGTCTGTGATGCGATCCGATAACATTTCTAATTATATACACTGATTACAGCTATTCACTTATCAACAATTCACTTATTTTCTACCCGGAAACCATTCGAAAAATAAAAACGGTGAAAAGTGTATAATAAAGTTCAGACAGGAGGCATTAGGTTTATATTATATTATTGATAAGCATCGTAAATCGTATCGAACTAGCCATGTCCCTATGTGCGTCTCTCGAGTAAAGTATTCCTTCTTATTTTTGCTATGTGAACGTATCTCAGACGTATACGATTTATGATGGCTAATAACATTGGTGCAGGGTATCTACTAGTCGAGCTAGAGCTCTGTAGAGTAGAGTAATCTTACTTGTTTTTTTTAAATGCGAACTAATCGTAAAATGTTGACATTTGCTTAGATCAAAGATTAACTTTGCAATAGGCAGGTTTGTTTTGAAAAGTATTGTTATGATTTATTTTTTTATATTTTCTCAAAGATCATTAACATTTTTAGTGTCATTTTTATGAGCATTCTTAACATATTTTTAAATATTTTAAATCAGATTGTGCTGGCAACAGTCCACAGTTAATTTTAATTTAGTTATTTATAAAAGCAGGAGATTTTTTCGATCACACGAATGAATTCATTTTCCGCCCATGTTTTTTGCACTGGGCCTAATTAATTATTAATTGACTAGAGAGCTGGTTTGACGAAGCACTTTGACGAGAAACAAGTTTCTTCGAGTCACGAATTCTCAGATTCTGTTATTCGTTTTCGTTTTTATGGTAGCTCAACAATCTAATTGCACCTGCAGTCTGTTTTTTGTTTTTTTCCATAATTAAATTATCAGTTAATTCCTCAACTGGAAATATATTATTTGAAGAACTCAGCATTTAAAGTAATTTCTCAGCTGCCGCCTGCCTGCAATTTGAGAGCAAATTATCAGCTGGAAATTCGAAATTGATTGCGATCTTTGGACTTTATATAATGATCTTTGATCTGGTTGCCGCTTGAAGACGACCTTTGTTTTGCCTTTTTGTCTGTGGCAGCTCTTAGAAATCTGCCTCGCTGCTGCTGCTGCTGCCGCTGCACGGCTTATGTTGCACACAGTAGCTGAGATTGTCTGTCGGCGGTTGGCTGCTTGCTGCTGTCCTTATGCCACATCATATACAAGAGGCTGGTAGAAAATGCATTCGGCTTAGTCACTCTTTGCCCTGCCCCGCAGACAATCAAGTCAAGAATGTAGCAAGAGCATCAGGGAGCAGTTGCGGGGCGTGGCGCTGTAAACTGGTTCGTTGTCGTCTTCTTCTTAATGCTGCAAACCCAGAAATGATTCGCCCGACGTTGTTTGAGTTTTGAGTTTGTATGCCATGCGCTGTTTATTATGATGTGCTCGCAACACAAAAGCAAAATTCGAAATAAGCCGCATGAAAAGCGGCGCCAGGACACCAACTGCCACGGGCTTGGGGTGGTGTGGGTTGGGAGGAGAGGGTCGGCGAGAGAGGTGCTTTGTTTTTTAAGTTTGGCTGAGTGGGTGGGTCGACAGTAGACGGTCTAATTCGAAACGCGCTAAAGCAAAGCGATTAACTGGATTTATGCTTGAACCCGTGGGGCAAAACCTTACACACACCACACCCACACACTTCACATCCTTTTTTGCCCTTATTCAGCTCCTTTTCATTGTATAGCTTATATCTACCATGTCCACACAGTGAAGCGCAGGGGAGTTGAGTAGTTGAGCAGTTGGATGGGGTCATTGTACCGCCATCGATTCAAATCGCATAAAACTTATCGCTTTGGCCCCGCTAATTAGGAGAGCCACACGCAGACACACACACACACACACACATACACATGTCGGCGCCTAATGACTGTG